GAGAAGGGTTGCAGACAGAGGGCTATCTGGAGCCTGAAACAGAAGCAATACAGCTCTTTCCTAATCCTTTGAGCTGAAATGAGTTGGGTGTGAGTTGACACACAAGAATAATCTGTGTGATTGGAAGCCTATTTGTTCTGGCAATTCAAGTCTATTAACTTTAGCAGTTATTTGCCTGAAGGCTGGTTGACAGGATAGGTTTGCAATGAATGGGAGTGGGGGAAAAAAAAAAACTTGAATTCTCTTTCTTACCTTTCTACGGATTTCTGCTGTCTTCGTTGGTACAGTGCTGTTATGCTGATTAGCTGCACAGGTGACCAATCTGCTTGATACTGTGGGTTGTTCTGTGTGTGTATTTGCAGTGCCTTCAATATGGCCAGTAAAGGTCTCACAAGAACCTGCTGCTAGGAGTAATAGGGTCTTGTCTGAAGAGTATAACTTGTTTTGAAGAGAGTCCTTCTGAAGTAAGGAATTTTTGTGGTAGAATCACAGCTGCATTCAGGCACTTGGTTTTGTCTTTTACTCCCATAAGGTTGCTTGAAGAAATTTTGGAAACATAACTGTAACCTTTAGATTATTCCAGAATGTTTTTCTCACTTATCTTCTGAGGTGGTGATGCCAGCTTCCCTTTGTGGCTAAAGTCCTTAATGACGATTTGCTGCTGCGTAAATGACTGCTACGTCCAAAATGTGTCCATCTCCACACTGCTGGAGGTGATCAACCATTCCCAGTCCCTGGCGCTTGTGATAGAAGACAGAATTAAGAGGTACAAAGTCTCTGGCCACAACCCCTTCTTTGGAAAGCTACAAATGGTCACCCTTCCTCCCATCGCCCCAGGAGTTCTAAAGCTCATCTCGGAGAAAACAGATTTCTATCAGGTAGCAACGTTTTTTTTGTTGTTTTGCCTTTGCTACCCAAATGCACTTTATTTTGGGAGGGAAGCAGTCGTTACCATGCTAAATATTTGGGGAATGTCTCTTTACAATGCTCTGCCTTTGACATTTTTTTTCCCCATAAGCACTTCAGAGCAGTTGTTCTCATATTCATGTGCTCTACAGCAGGATATACAAAAGACACTAATTTTCAAATGGCCAGTTGGGTTTGTGCTCAAATTCTTGGGGGAGGAGAGTTGATTTTTGACTTGAAGGGTTAGGTTTTGTCAGTCTGAAAGCTTCGTACTGGAAAACTTTGGTATACCTTTAAGTTTTCAGATGAGAGAAATTGTTAGTGGGTGGAAGGTATTGAAAACATTGCTTCCTTTTTGTCTTAACGTTATCCATTTCAAAGATGCTTTCCTTATCCTGACCGTTTACTGAGTTTAGTGCTGGTGTGAGGGTGGGTCCCATGTTTGGTTTGGTTTCTGTTCTTCCAGCTACACATGCATCACCTGTTAAGTTTTGACCCAGAAAATCATAGAATGAAAATAGAAGCAAAAATGCTTTCCTCAACTTTCGGTGGATGTATACCTGAATTACCTGTAATTCCTGGGTAGGAATGCTTCATTCTTTAGGTCTGAGTTTATGACCTGATTTCTTGCTCTTTGCTAAACTAGGAAGATTTGGAAATCCCTTTCAGTACTCATGCAATGGAAAGCTTTTTAAGTCAGTGGCGCATCTGACTGCTATTTTGTTTGTTGTTGTTATTGTGCCCTAGAGAATAGCTTGTGTGCTCTGGAATCAGCTGAACAAAGAGACACGGGAGCATCATATTGCCTGTGTGGAGCTGTTCTACAGGCTCCACTGCTTGGCACCATCAGCAAATATCTGCGAGGACATTATCTGCCATGCACTTTTGGATCATGATAAAGTAAGTCCTGTATTCTCCAAAGCTCCTTCATCACTATTTGGGTGTCACAAAGCTTCCCAGACTGTCCCCAGTTGGCTTCCAGTCTGGTTCACACTCATGTGATCCCTTTGTCTCTTATTTAGTAGCTCTTACAATGGCTAGGCTATGTTTAAAGTGAGCAGGTTCTTATTTGTATTACTTCCCCACTTTAATAACAG